ATTCTGAAAATACGTCATTAATGATTAAATATATTAAGGCTAAGTTGGTTCGACGGCGAGTCCTGAAGCTGCTGAAAGGGAGAGTGCGGAGCTCAGGGTCTGCTGCTTCTGGAGACGCGGTGTCCATGTCCACCGCTGCTGGAGTGCAGCGCCAGGGTCTGACGCTGATGGAGTGTGGCTCCTGGGTCTGTGGCTGCTGGAGGGAAAGAGTGCGGGTCACGGGTCTGTCGCTGCAGGAGGGGAGAGCCTAGCGCCAGGGTCAGTTACTCCCGTGGAAGAGAGCAGCACTCGGGTCTTCCCACACCGGTCCTGGAGCAGAACAGTGGGGCACCAGGCCGCCGTGTGCTACCTGCTGTCTGCATGTCCTGCCATATGTTTCAGCCGTTGCTGGAGGAGGCGAGAATTGAGCATCCCGGACATGCCAGGCTGCCGGAGGAAAGCGCGTCACCCGGGTTTGCCGCTGCTGGGGAAGAAGCAAACTGTCACCCAGGTCACCCGAGGATCGTGAGTCACTACGATCACCGGACCTGCCATACTCAGAGACGTCTTCGCTCGCCTCGCTGCTCGGAGGGAGCCTGTTGTGTGGCCATGCCTGCGCCGTGCCCGGCTGCCAGCGACCTGCGGCCCACGCGGCCGACCGGGTGATCGTATCAAACCTGGGGCGGAGGCTGGACCAGTCCGCCTGTCTGCTGGAGCTGCACCACGCCTTACGTGCGGGGGGCGGCGCGCCCGCCCGGGGCCACTGGCTGCGGCCGGCCGTATCAGCGCACCACCAGGCGCTCGCTGACATATGGCAGCGGGCGGTGAATGCACGCGACCAGACGGCAGCAGACTTCAGGTCCGGTCACAGTCTAGTGTCAACAGACAAGTGCCGGCTCGCTCAGGCGTCTCCGCACCGGACAGACCGTCATCGTGCGGGACCGAGAGCCAGGTCCGTGGAACCGGCTGGCGGGGTGGGGTCACTGGCGTTGGTAGGCAGTGGGTACGCATGCCCATCGGACGCATGCACTGGGGCGACCACCCGAATTTCCGGCCGGTTCAACAGCTCGTGGCGGTACCACAGAGTGGTGGCAGCAGTCAAAACAGCCGCGACGGCGACAGCCTCGTCGTCAGTGGCGACGGCGGCATTAACGGTGGCGGCAGCCGCGGCGACGGTGGCCGTGTGATGGGGTGCTCGATTCAGTGATGGGGGCACCGCGGCGACGGTGGCCGTGATGACGCTGGGTGCTCGATCAGTGTGCGGGCAGCCGCGGCGACGGTGGCCGTGATGACGCTGGGTGCTCGATCAGTGTACGGGCAGCCGCGGCGACGGTGGCCGTGATGACGCTTGGTGTTCGCTCAGTGTGCGGGATGCGGCGCGACATGGCATCCGGTAAAATCGCGTAGTATATATATATATATATATATATATATATATATATATATATATATATATATATAGCGCGAGACGTCCGGTGGTTGAGATTTCGGCCGCCTATCCGGCGTCTGTTGCGGTATCCGGTAAAATCGCGGAG